CAGCCCATCCAGGTCCCTCTGCAGAGTCTTCATCAATACTTGCTTGGTTACACATGTACAGGGGTTGGGGACAGGACGATTGAGGGAACGAGACACCCTCAGGGACCTAAACACGCAGATCTGAGGTAATTGGGCTGGAAAGAGAGACACGGTCACAAACAGATGACCATGGCTGGGTGAAGAAGAGAGCGTGTGCTGGGGAGAAGCAGGCACAGAGGTGAAGGTGGGAACTCCACACACATTTCTCACGAGGGATCTTCTCACCACAGCTCTCACACGTTTGCTTTTCCCTTGGCAGCTCGCTGACCTGAACAAACGGTTGCCAGCAGAAGCCTGCATGCCCCCGGCGAAGCCCGTCAGCCGCTCCCAGCGCGCTACGAGCGGCAGCCGGCCATGCGACCCGCCACCCCCCACACCATCACCCTGCAGCCGTCGTCTTTCAGGAACCTGCGCCTGCCAAAGAGGCTGCGGGTGATTTATTTCTTCGCCAGGACCCGGCTGGCCCAGAGACTCATCATGGTACGCCACGTGGTGTTTATTATCCTCTTCCCCTTTGTGCTGGACACTAACCCGACCCAAATAAGCTTCTGCATGGGGAAAAAGCCAAATATTTTCATGCATCCTTGCTCCCCTGCAAGACTTCTGCTGCCCTGTGGTAAATACAGTTCAATAAGTACTTCCCTAAGAACATTGCTCTGCGTGAATTAGCTCCAGGGCTCTGCTGTTTGCGTGATATTTGGGTGGTGGCCTGTTATTTTTCTGATATTTCCTTTTATACAAGCAGATTTTCAAGGACTGTATGAGTGGAGAGAGATTTTTACAGAGCAGAAATCATGTTTCGTTCCTGTAGATAATGTAGAATAAAGACAGGGAGATATTGTGCTGTGTAAAAGACGAAGGCTTTTCCTTTTGCAGGTGTAACAGCAGCAGTTACACCAGTTACTGCCCCTCCTGTCCCCCCATCTCTGTTCTGGATGTCTGCAATGGACACAGAGGAAGGTCCACATTCCTCAGCCCTACAAACCATAGCCCAGTCTGCTTCATGAACCAGAACCCTGAGCAAAACGTTTCCAGCCCCGTTTTTGGGTGGTAGACAAACTGGTTCCAGCCACCAGCAAGGAGTCTTCTCCCTGCTGTGTGTTTCTGTGGCAGAAGTTGGGGTTCCCAGCATCAGGCTCAGTCATGGAAAAGTACTGTTTGGGTTTTGTGCGCTGCGCAGCCTCTCCCAATCCTCTTAGAGGATAAGTTTGTGCCAGGAGTAAGACCATTACTTGGTGTACCCTTGTTTGGGATGTTGGTAATTAGCTCAGACAGCTGACGAGGTTGGAGGCGGAGCGTGAAAGCCGTGTGCTAAACGATATTGTCTCTGCTCTTCGTGTGCAGGCTGGGACTGTGATCTGGATCGGAATCCTGGTTTACACGGATCCTGCTGGTCTCCGCACCTACCTCACGTCGCAGGTCACCGAACAAAGTCCTTTGGGTGAAGCAGGTCTGCCTCCTATGCCAGTCCCTGGAGGGGTCCTGCCTGCTGGGGACCCCAAGATTGATCTCTCAGTCTTCCCATCGGACCCCATCCAGCTGTCAGAAAACCAGACGCAGCAGCGTGAGCAGAAGTCGGGGCTGGAGTCCCTGAGCAGGCTGGACACAAACCAGCACGCCTGGGCCCACGGACCAGAGGGCAAAGGGAATGGGCAGACGGAGCTGGGAGCTGAAGCAGAGGTTACCTGGGGAGCAGAGGATGAGGAGATCTGGAGGAAGCTTTCCTTCAGACACTGGCCGTCCCTCTTCAGCTACTACAATATCACTCTGGCCAAAAGGCAAGTGGGCTGACACCTCAAATTCCCTGTGGGACTGACTCTAAACGTTTCTGTAACAGTTTGTGATCATCTATACTGATTTGGAAAGGAGTGTTGATCTGCCTGAGGGTA